GGGCTTATTATATTCACGGCCTTCAAAAACACGATGGATATTGTGCAAAAAAATATCAAAAGTATTGTGCAATAAAATTAATTCAGTGAACTTACTATGTAGGAGCTTCGTTTCTGAAAGGAAGTCCAAGAACGATTGAGAATCAGAGAAATAAGCACGGCGTGCACCAGGAATATGTTGATATAACCAGTGAAGTCTAATAAACATTGTGCAGCAATTGTGAACTGTTAAAGTATGTTGGCTTGTGACTGATAAAATTTGTCACTCCTGTTAAATGTTAGAAAGTTGAAAAATAGATCTGAAAGTGTTCTTGTCTGATTATTATTTGAAAGCCGCACATAATTCTACTAATTGTAGATTAGTGAGTATAAATGTGAGTACTCAATATACAGCAATGAAAAATAATGGCTGCTAGTCCATAATTTTGACCCTTTGGATTCAATATTGCTAAAAAATGCAACGACGACTTGTCATTTCCAATGTATTGCATGGGTATGTAATTAAAGCACAGGATTTCCCATTAATCTTATTGAATCTAATTTTCCAATATACGCAAATTTTTATATGGTTCCTTAGACGCTCTGCGACGCTTATTTTCTAGCGTATCAATATATGCAGTGATTTATAAAAAGTTTTGAGAGGGCAAGATGTCGGGAAGTCATGCTAATATCATTATCATTTAAGAATTGCATGGTGTTTTATATAATATCATATTTAATGATAAACGAAAGAAGTTTTCAACTAAAATTCAAATTATGTATGTGCGATTAACGTTTTTTTCTCTAAAATCATTTGCTAACTCATGCCCCAAATACCAGTCTAAAAAATTTTATTCTTCTTAATCGAGAGTAGACTTAATTAAACTACACTAAGGTAATTAGGTTGCTTATTAGTCTAGAAATCGAATGCTCAACCAATATTAATTATCACTGTTATAATTTAATGATTCCAACTTCTAAGCATGCAGTGTCTTCGCTTTTTTTCAATTTATAGCTTATTAAATTATTGATAATTTTTTTACTAAGAAACTCACTAAGCTGTCGAAAAATAACATCTTCTGTAACACTAAAATATAACATTTTCAACCTCGACAACAATTCATTATGGCTTTCAAGCATTCTCCGAACGAATTATCAGAGACAGAATTTGAATTCTGCCAATTTCTTATCAAATTGGAATTTCCACCATGCCAGAAATGGGCGTTTAATTGCACCTATCCGAAGTTTAAGAAAGTTTCCGGGAGAGTTTTTTTATTTTTACAAATGCTGTTTATAACCTTTAACTGGTCAAACTTTTACTATCAAGAATGCAACTCAAACAATATTTGTATAATTCGTGCTTAAACTATTGTCTATAAAAATGTAACTCTCTCCATTCATTTTAACGTACCTATAATAATCGATCCAGAAATGAGTTTGTAAATAAATTTATGGTTTGCACTCGAATTTTTGACACACGAAAAGAATATTTGTGTTAAAAATCAGAGCATATATAGGGACATTAGAAGTGCCTATACATATTGAAATGATGAATGGAGCAACGTAGGATCTTTGATGCAATATGTTACAGATGACCGTTCTGACAGAAGATAATCTAATTTCAACAGAATTTAAACTCGGCTATAATTACATTTAAATATGTCTTCATTCGAAATTATTTCGAATCAAAGAAAGAGCCGGTAACAGATATATCGTTCTTGACAACTGTAAAATTGACTTCAATGTAAGATCATACATGCCTATATACACAAATATACAATAAAAATTGCTAGGTGATTATTTCAAATGGTTATTATATGTATTAAAAACTTAACACAGCTCTATTTTGCCAACGAAGCTCTGGTAAATAAATTCTGACTCCATTAATTGTATTTTAGAATTCAACATTGAAAGTTTATTACAATACATGCATGGATAATTGAAATATTTAATTATTCATAGAAGATACGTAACGATACTTAGTAGTTTATTAATTTAATAGTTAGTATAAGAACCAGTTAAATTATTGTCCATGATAATAAAACATTAAATAAATTTAAGACAACAACAATGTCACAACTCAACCATATATGACTAAAGAATATTATGAATGAAATAGCTATAGCCAAGGTTTCATTCTATCAGTATTATTATCAGAAATATTTTGTTATCTTACCATTATTAGCATAATTAAATAATGTTATTGTTACTATATTCATATTGTATTATTACCTTAGCGCTATTATAACGCCTTAAAAGTATCGTTTGTTTCACGTTTTGCAAGCCACCTATAATATGTCCTCTAATCTGGGAAAATCTAACTACAGTAGTCACAAATTAATGTATCAATTTTGAAGTATCAAAGACACTCAATATATTTACCTTTATTTACCTTTATTACCTTTAAATTCTCACTGAGCAATTGCTAGATTCAATTTCACCTCAAACAAGCAAATAAATATATATAAATATAGATATTCTTTTCCTTCAGTCATAACGATGACCTTAATTTCCAGCAGCCCGCTTAGTAAGAAATTATTTTTTATACTATTTTAATCATACTGTTATTAATATTATTTTATGATCATATTACAAAAACAATTTTTGACCCTACGCATACCTGCAGCATGCACATATTTTACTCATTGGTCTAGATTATTGTAGGAGTTACTGATCACACTCTGGGCACTTCTGCAATGACCTTTCATCGATGCCGTCCGTATTTCCCACACTGCCATATACATAATGAGCAAGACTTCCTGCTATATAGCCTATAAATACTTGCAATATCCTATATACCTATAACATTAGCTTCCACTACTTCCTTCCTTCTCTTTTTCTACCTAATTCATAGAATTAGCACTCGTGACAAACGAGGCCCCTTTCTTCCCTCTTTTATTTTCTTAATACATATTATTACTATTATTAACAACCCTGCATTGATTCATCAGATTATTACTAATAACCATCCCGCATTAATTCATCCGATTATTATAAATAAGAACCATGCATGCACTCCTTTCTTCCCTCCCGGATTCAACCGAGTATCTCAAAAAATAATCCTGACTCATTTCTTCCCCTCGCTCTTTTATTAATTAATCGGATTATCATTAATAACAACACTGTCTCCTTACTCCTGTTTTCTCTTATTAATTAATCGGGTTATTACTTATAACATCCCTGACTTCTTTTAATCTTTCCTTTTTCTCTCCCTGATTCAACGGATTAACGGTAATTTTAACGAATGCTATAACCATCCTTTTCTCTTCTCAATTATATCGAATTGTCACTAAAAATAACCCTCACTCCATTCTTCCCTTTATTTTTATCTTAATTTATCGGATTATCACTTGTAGCAACCTTTACTTATTCCTTCCCTTTCTCCTTTTCCTATTTCATCAGATTATCACTAATAATAACTCTGAATACTTTCTTCCATTTTTCCCTATGAGATGGATTTTCCATTTTCCCCTATGGAAGAGCTTTACATATATGTATATTAGTGTAGTTAGGCAGAAGTTCTTCATTTATGCAGGTTTGGTTGAAGACCAGAGCGTACTTTTTATTTACGATTTTCTTATTGTTCTTTTCGATAAGCCGAACAAAATTTCTAGCTGGAGCTTTAATAAGAAAATCGTAAATAAAAAGTACGCTCTGGTCTTCAACCAAACCTGCATATATGTATATATGTATATTATTCAGTGGATCATCACTATTACAACTCTGAATCCTTTCTTCCAGTTTTTCTTCCAAATTCAGCAGATCATCACTGTTCCAACTCTGATTCTTTTCTTCCATTTCTTCTCTTCCTTCTCTTCCTAATTTCATCAAATTATCACTCATGACAATTCCCAGCGCCCCGCTACGGAACAATTTTCATCAGAGATTTTTTCGGAGCGTAATTTTGGAAGGGGCGCCGCGCATCCATAATACGGCGCTCGCGAGAGTAAACGTCCGCAATAAGCATTTTATTATATTTTATGTTTACATTTTCCGTATTATATTCCTCATTATAAGCAATTCAAATGAGCACGACTGTAGATTGTAGAAGTAGCTTTAATTCACTACTATAGAGCTTGCACTATTTAAGGTGGAAAATATGTAGCTCTGTAATTTTAGAGAGATGATAATCTTATCCTCCTCATAAGGAGGATAAGATTCTAACTCGTGTTGCAGCCAAGTGAATGAGTGAAACAATTTAAATACTATTACATCGAAATCAATTTGATAGTTAAAATGAATTTTGTTTTTGCAGGTCAATAAACAGTAAGAAATTCAAACATATATGTGCGTCAGTGCGTATTAAATAGTTGGGTTAAATGACTCAGATGTTGACAATATTGCCAACTGATAAAAGGAAAAATATGCAAAATTAATATATGTAAAAAATATGCAACAATTCCAAAACGCAAAATGTGATTGATAATACAAAATTTTTATGGGGTTGCTGACGAGGATTAATTGCGTGCAGCACAATCAATTCATGCATGCAGGTACAAATAAATGGACTAGGACCGCATTATTTCATGAATAAGATGCCTTAAGAAAATGAAGATTAACGTCCATTATGGAAATGAAAAATAACATGGGGTTAAAAAAATTAAGAATAACATGGCACACAAAAATGAAGAATAACGTCTCTTGCGGAAATAAAAAATGTACTGTAGTTGGGCAAGTCTCTACGTTATAAGCCAAATAAGTACTAGTACGACTTGCACTTCAAGATTAATGACGCGTTCCACTTGATTTTAAGGAATGACACGCGGGGCAAAAATACACATCAACGTACGTGGTTCGTTAATTTTGTATAGAAAATCGTCTAAGCTTTGCGGAGAAGTTTGTCCAACAGAGGAATTCATTAAAAAATGTTACGCTAAGATTATAGTTTAAAATAACACATGTGATAATTAAAAATTTCAACCTTCAAGGTCACTCATGTTGAAAATAGAGATTTTTTTGTAATTTCAAGTTATAAAAGTTAAGTTTTCATGATTTTTTATAATGATATGTTATCTCTTACAGGTACTACATTTATGTTATGCTAGCGCTCGTTAGGCCACCATACGGCATGCATAGAATTGCTGGTGCAGATTAATTAACTGTAGATGAATAGAAGAACAAAACTCAATACTTCTCATGTATTATATCAACTTTGAAATTGCTTGACCAAAAATGAATTGTCTTTTTTGCAAAAATTCAAAACACGCTGTTGAAAATGTGGAAAAAGATGTGCTGTGTTGAAAACAGAGCGCTTGGAATTAAATGCGCTGAAATACAACTTTGTTGAATTTTTTCTTGCTGCTTTCGTTGGTAAAATGAACTCAAAATGCAGTGTGTAGCAGAAAAATAACAATCGTTCTTTGCATAGATACGTTTTTGTAAATTTAAATTTTTACGTGTGAAGTGAATTTCGGAAAAGAGCTTTACCTAACACATCATGATAACATAAAGAATAAAAAATTGTATATTGTATTATCATCAATAATATTTTTGCTGTCACTGACTATAACGCCGTTTTTGCAATCATTGCCGTGGACTAACGCCCTTGCACAGCAACAATTAAAGTAATTGTGAGCAATGAAGAAGAGCGATTAAAAGTAATTAACGGAACTAGCTGAGAACGAAAATGAAAACCATTCAAAAATAGTGTGCTCAAATCAATTTCATCTATTTTGAATTTGTAAAAAGCTCTAAGTAATATATACATATACATTTTACATTTCGCAAATTACAGTGAACCAAATTTAGAGCAGCAACTTGAATAGAATAAAAGTTTCCAAGAAAAAACTGAATCAACAGTTTAGACCGACTCAAGTCGAAGCTCTTCAGCTCCTCCAAAATTTTTATTTCCAACTGGAAACAATTTTGTTGATCACCTCGCTTACGAATACCTCGGCCAGCTTATTTTTTGCAGCGTAGGGCGCACACCATGACTGTGATGGCCGAGGGCGCTTATGATGAACCTTCCCTCGTATCGCTGCCACCCGCCCCTTCCTCCCCTCGTCGCAGCCCCTCGCCTCTCGACCTCAGGCGAGGGGATCAAGTGCCTCGACTCCCCTTCAGCATTTCGTCCCTTCTTTCTACGTCCCTTTCATCCCACCTGGGAGCCGCCAGGGATCTTCTCGACAGAGATCGAGGTGTTCTCAGCAGAGAGCAGGACCTTCTTATAAGAGATAGAGAACTTCTCGACCGTGACCGAAAGTTGCTGGACCGAGACTTTCTTGAGAAAAATCGTGAGTTTTTAGATCGTGATCGTGGTATCCTGGACCGCAACAGAGGGCTTCTGGAACGGAGCTCGAACATGCTGGATCGGGACATCCTCGATCGGGAAATCTTGGATCGGAACCGTGGGTTGCTAGACCGCGATCGGGACCGGCAAAGAGAGAAGCTTTTGGGCCAGGAGCTTACGGTTAGGAGGGACAGGGAACTGCTTCAGGATGACCAGCAAAACCACAGTGAAAGTGAAGGTGAAGCGGCCGCTGAAGATGAAGGTATCGCTGCTGAAGAAGACGAAGAAGACGACCATGATCGGCCAGATGATGAGAGCAACGGCGACGATGAGGACCAAAACGGACGTTTCCAGCCGTACTCTTACACACACATGCCCTTCGCTGCAGGACTTCTACCACATCTTCAGGGTCTCTTGCCCCACTTGGGAGGACTTGGTGCCCACGGGCTAGGAAGTGGGCTAATGGGAGGCCCAGGAAGTGTTATCAGAGTTCCTGCACAGCGACCTCCCCTTGGGGGATCCCTTGTATCTTCGATGGGGGGGTCTACGCTCCCATGGTTCGCAGGGCTCACTCCCCTGGAGCGCACGGCAGCCATGGCGCACCACCTCTCAACTCTGGCTCCCATGGCAGGCAAGTGTACGAGGCGAGATTTATTTGTTCTCAACTGAGCTTTAATTTTTAATTGATAAGCACTTTTTTGAGCCCGGCCTCGAACCTCCAGTAACCGCAAATTGCTTTCGAAATCTAAAGTTATTTTATTAATGGCAATAAAGAGTATCTGTAGGCTTAAGTATTATTATTCTCACTGATTCTATATAAGTGCACCGCCTCGTAAGCTTTACTCACGTTGAATCCGCTAATAATAGAGTCAACGTTGCAAAATCAGAAGAAACATGGTGAAAATAATAGCATATTTTATTAATTGAGCAACATTTCAAATAGTCTTTACTAAAAACACTCGTGATGTAAAACTTCCAAATTGAAGAGTTCCAGTATAAAATATGGCACTGGAGGAGCTGATTCTCCTCTCCCCACACCTGCAGCTATAGTGAATGTGCCGGCTGCTGTGTATATGATGGCTGAAATGAGGAATTTCGTGCTGCTTAGCTATATATATATATATAGGGGCAAAATTTATATGGGGACGCAGCGACGCACTATAAGTCCTTCTCATATACCCTCGATCGTTACTCACGACGGGTATGAATTTTCCTGCATTAAAGGCTTGAGCCTGGAACAAACACATGGAACGTTTTTCGAGTGAAGTGAAACTTCACTCGATCAAATATTTTCACTCGAAAGATATTTGATTTCAATGTGAATATATAAAGTTTTATAGTTCAATGCGTTTGCTATGATCGAAAATTTAACTATGATTATAAAGTTTTAAGGGAAACCACGCTCATTGATTCAACTGCTACGACTTCCAAGATGAGAATTAAAATACGAACGCACGATGAAATATTATATAAAATTTACAAGTCGTACAGATGCCATTGAAGCCCTTCAAAAGCAAGTGCTCCACTTTAATTTCTTCGAAACAAGCCTACAAGGACCTATGCTATACATATTAAAATTTTTAGTTGTATTCATTAACATGATTGAATACAATTTATGAGATGTCAGTTACCGTTTATCCGGGCGGCCGTTTCCGTCAAACAGCATTTTGGCATCACACGACCTGCGTGTGTGCAGTTAGGGACGATACACGCCATCAATAATTCTGAAACTCCATAGCTGCTAAGAGACTTTGTTTGGCTGCTCTAAGATTCAGTGTGAGTGTTGCCGGCGAGCGATCCCCTCGTGTTCATCAAGTGTTCTTGCTTCCATTAATGAACAGCTCTGGTCCTTGCAGGTCCCTTTGGGTTCCCGCGTCGCATCGGCCACCCTTACCAGTCCCGCACGCCCCCCAAACGCAAGAAGCCCCGAACCTCCTTCACCAGAGTCCAGGTAAATTAAACATCAAATGAACCAATATGAAATTCTCGGTAAACTCTATATGAACATTCAAAATGAGTTATGAATGTTTTAACCTCTTCAATCTGCTTTTAATTACTTATGCGCCTAGGTGAATTTTAGGGAAAATTCTATCATTGGTTCAATGAAACTTGTCGCAGCAAACAATGAATACCATGAACTTGAAAAGATTTTCATCACATTAATACTTTTTATCAACATAATAAGATAGTGAAGAGAGCTTCAAAAGAAAATATTTTTTAACTCAAATAGCTAACAAATTCGACAACAGTCTCAACGCAATTCTTTTGTTTAATAACAAATGAGATGGAGTAGCGCTTCAACAAATACTGTTCTTGTATATC